TCCCAAGATTGGGTGGTGTCCCACTGTTAGGCCGTGTAGGGAATTTACATTCCCCATACTCTACATCACAATGACACCATTCAATGACACCATTCAGCCAATTCATTTAAAAAAATGGAGACTAAATTATGAAAAAAATAAAATAGGTGGATTAAAATTTTCATTTTACTTACGGGGAGGTTGATCAACGACGGAAGCAGCTCCATCGAAATCGCACGACCCAGCGGCACGATCATTCTTCTGGTAAAAGCTGTTGAAAGCGTATGAAGCATGAGCCTCGAGCGTATTAGGATTGTAGCATGCTGCACCTGGTTGGATCGGACCACAATCGGCGCCTGCAGACCCACATGCATACTCCAACCCCGCCTGGAGCTTATCTGCCCCAACATTCGCATTGGCCACACACCATGTTTGACCCTCGATCGATGGCGTCCCACTATCAGACCCCGTTGGGAATTCACAATCTCCGTACTCTACATAATAAATGACACCATTCATCCCATTAATTTTAGAAAATTGATATTAAATTAAAATAAAAATGGAAATTGGAGGTTGAAATTTTGATGGTACTTACGGGGAGGTTTATCAACGATGGAAGCAGCTCCATTGAAATCACACGACTCAACGGCACGATCATTCTTTTGGTAAAAGCTATTGAAAGCGTACGAAGCGTGAGCCTCGAGTGTATTAGGATTGTAGCATGTTGCACCCGATTGGATCGGACCACAATCGGCTCCTGCAGTCCCACACACATACTCTAGCCCGGCTTGGAGCTTATCCGCCCCAGCATTCGCGTTGGCCACACACCACGTTTGACCCTGGGACGGTGGCACTCCACTAGTAGGTGGCGTCCCACTTGCAGGCGGCGTCCCACTAGTAGGCGGCACATTGTCATTGCTTCCATTGACTGATGTCTTAGGCCCATTCTTAAGTTGGTCGCTTGTTAGTGGAATATCGTACACCATTTGTTCGTTAGGGTAGAATAGGCCATAGTTCCTTTCCGATGTTGGACCTGGTTTCTGGTACTCGTTAAATAGTGCAAACAAATAGGCATTGATTGGGTCTTTTGGTTTCATAGGGGTCCCACCTCCCGTTAGAACTCTACGTACCAAATTCCCATTATACGATGCTGCATTTCCCACACTTGCTCCTAATTCCTCACTATCTCCTTTTGACGGCCATCCAGTCTCTGTAATCACCAACTTAATGTCGTCGTATTTGAGCGCTGACATAGCCGCGTAAACGGCGTCAACTTGAGCCTCGAAAAGGCTCAAGTATTTTAAGCCATTGCCGGAATCCAGCACGCCAGGGTTATCCTGAAAGAGAGTGTAGTTGAGGGAGATCTTGTCGGAATTAGCCGCGTAGGCGAAGAAGGGGTAGATGTTAACCATGAGGTAGGATTGGGTCTGACGGAAGAATTCAAGCATAGGTTTCATGACAGGGTCAGCAAGATCTTGTTTGAAGGACCCAGATGAAGTTGGGTAGGAGGATGCGAGAGCACTGAAAGCAATTGGGGAGGAGACTTTAATGGAGTCGCTGAGTTTGTACTTCTGAAGGGAAGCGTGGAGATTCTTCATGGCCGGGACGAGGAAATTGGTTATGTTGGTCGGGTCGACGAAGACTTCATTTCCAGCAGCGATGGCTTCAATTTTTGTTGCCGGATAGAACTTGGTTATGTTAGCCTGAACCCATTGGTCGGTGAAGGACTGGCTTGCGGCAGCGGAGAAGAGGAGCTGATTCGGGAGGCACACAATGACGGATATGCCAGAGTTAGCGAGGGCGGTGAGGACAGTGGCGTCGGTGTCGAAGATTTTTACTTTATTGATTCCTTGATTTTTTAAGAGCTCCACTACTTTGGGGGGTGGTGGTAGGTCGTCGGCGAGTCGGCCATAATTTACTCCTACAAATCCCGCTGCATCTACGAGATATATAGTCGAGAGGAGAAGGTAGAGGAACGAGAAGATGCTCATGCTTTGGGATGAGGAAGGAATGGTCATTGCCAATGAGTTTGCCTCCCAACTTTGATTTTATACAGAAACAGATATTGGACAAATGGTGGAACCCATCCATAAAAATAGAAAATTATCGTGCCCAATTTAAATGACTAAATTTATGGAATCTGTTAGTCCTTGTCTTTTGTTGTGTCCGGTCAATTACAACCAAGAGAGTTTCAAAACTTTTTGTTTTTTTTTTCTTATGAGTCCATAAAAAAATTTACATAAAAATAGAAATACAAATTAGTTTGAAAGTTTCCTATTTACTATTTGTGTCATTTTGTATAAAACTAACTTTCTGAAGGCGTAACAAATTTGTACAACGTAAACTAAAAAATAACCCAAAAGAGAGAAAATAAAAAACCGGTTTTCGGTGGCGGATGTTAAATTGGCCAAAGAGCACAATTCCCCACTTACTTGGAGGATTAAGGGAAAAATATAGAAGAATTGTCTCCGGTGGATCCTATCAGACATGATCTTTCACAAATGAATTGCCCTCAATATATAAATACTGGTCACTTAATGTTAGTAATTTTTTTAATAATTAAATGTTTATATTCTAAAAAATTATTCAACAAATATAAAACACTTATAAATTCTATTATTATTATTATTATTAATTATCTAATTACCAAAATCGTCAAAACCATTCCCCACTTTTCGTTCCCATTTTGCACTAAAAAGTACACAACTATGTCACTACCGTTTGATTTTTCATTTCTTGCGGTCGCAACCTTCAGCGAAGGTGGATGGTTTATGTTCTCTATAATTCCGGCAAATTTATATCACTATTCCGACAGCTATTTCTAGTTTTTCGACAAACGGTACCTTTTTCAATGTCACAAAACACAGTACGAGCCATGAAACACAATTTTTGAAACCAACAAAGGTAAGAAGGGTGTCAAACCCCACCAGATACAACTACAGTTGTTGGCGTTTCTACCCCCAAACCCAACTCGGCCCCTAGAGTTGCTTTGACGAAGACATCATAAACAAAGTCTATTTTTTAGTCCATACTTTGACCTTTGCTATATGGATCTGCTGATAAGAATTCGGTATATGTTGCATATACTTTATTTTTAGTAAGTATATGGTGGGGATGTGCAACATATACGCTTAGAAAAAAATACTTCAATGGTACTTTTTTAGATGAAGTTAGTTATATGGAGTATATTTTGGGCATATGCTACATAAACTTTGTAATGTTAAATCATACTTCAATCGTGTTGTTTTGTGGACAATTTATACCGTTAAAATGATATCGAGTATATTTTGAGCATACGTTGCATATACATTCTAATAAAATGTATATATAATAACCTCATCTTAGTATATACCTGTTAAAGGGAACAAAAGCAAGGATTAGACCGGGGAAGAAGCGCACGGGCCAAGTGAGCATCGGAAAACGTTGACCCGGGCCAACTCAGGTCGACCTCAGCCAACCAGGTGCTTGGGCGCTGAGACCTCCTCGGCGCCGAGCAATTCTCGGCCCCCGGCCAAGAATTGTAACGGCTCACTCGACCGTTTCACGATACCTCCCATTTGGCAATTACACCCGTAACGGATCTGAAATTGACAAAGATTCACCATCAGACTGCTATAAGACGGACGGAACCTAGAGGTAAGGGGGCCAACTCTTTAGACTCAAATTTTATATCCTTCTACTCTCGTTGCTAACTTAGGCATCAGAACCCATGTGACTGGAGTCACACTAGTTTAGGTTTAATTGGTTTTGCAGGTTCTTTATCCCCTGCTTATCAGGTTTGGTGCGAACCTCGAAGGGAATCGGAACAACATAATTAACGCATCAACAATTGGCTCCATTTGTGGGAAACGACACAATCCAAGCAAATTTAACCCAGATCTGCCGAGATGAAACCCAGATTTGTTGAGGCGAAACCCAGATCTACTAAGGTGAAACCCAGAATTGTCAAGCTGAAACTCAGAACTACCGAGACGAAAATCAGATCTGCCAAGGTGAAAGCCAGATCTAGACTGATGAAGGCTGGCAACATTCTGAAAAGAAGATCCAGACCGAAGCTATTGACCACTCGAGAAAAACAAGTCCAAGCCCAGGTCATCAACTTAATCCGACCGACCACTCGGGTGAGGCAAATCCGAGCCCTAGTCATCGACTCAATCCGACCACCCCAAACAGGGGAGAACCGGCTAAGGAGGTAGAATCTGTTCCTATGGCAGTCGATGATCGACGAGTTAATATTGGAACCAAATTGGAGGATAGGAAAGGGAAAGTCTTATAAACTTCCTCACAAGCACTGCCGACGTGTTCGCATGGTCACATGAGGACATGCCAGGAATTGATCAAGGAGTCATGTACACCGACTCAATGTCGACGAGAGCTGTAAGCCAATGAAACAAAAGCGACGTGCGTTCAACCAAGAAAGGAATGAGATTGTAGCTGAACAGGTGGAAGAGCTACTGAAAGCAGGCTTCATTCGTGAAGTACATTATCCCCAGTGGATATTCAACGTAGTGCTAGTAAAAAAATCAAACGGTAAATGGAGAATGTGTATTGACTACACAGACCTAAATAAGGCCTGTCCAAAGGATTCCTTCCCCTTACCGCGAATAGACCAACTGGTCAATGCCACTGCGGGACATGAACGATTGAGTTTCATGGACGCCTACTCCGGTATAATTAAAGCAAGATGCATTTATTGGATCAGGAGAAAACCTCCTTTGTCACAAGTAGAGGTTTGTATTGTTACACGGTGATGCCGTTTGGATTGAAAAATGCAAGTGCGACCTATCAACGAATAGTAAATCGGATGTTTGCAGCATTAATCGGCAAAAATATGGAAGTCTACGTGGACGATATGCTGGTAAATAGTTGAAAAAACAAGCGACGTGAGGAGGATTTGAAAGAGGCATTTGACATTTTGAGAAAATACAAGATGAAGCTGAATCCTACTAAGTGCACATTCGGGGTAACCTCTGGCAAGTTCCTAGGATTTTTAGTGCACCAAAGGGGAATCGAAGCCAACCCGGATAAGATTAAAGTCGTTTTACAGATGGATCCACCCAGGAATCTAAAGCAACTATAGGGACTGAACGAAAGGATAGCGGTACTCAACAGATTTGTTAGCCGCTCTACTGACAAGTGCTTGTCGTTGTTCAAAATCCTGAGGAAGAAAAAGCAATTTGAATGGATAGAAAAGTGTGAAGCTACCTTTAAAGAGCTAAAGCAATATCTAGGGGCAACCCCACTTCTTGCAAAGCCGGTCACGGGTGATGAACTCTACCTGTACTTAGTCGTATCCCACACTGCAGTGAGTTCCGCATTAATAAAAGAAGAAGATGGAAGATAATCTCCAATTTACTATGCAAGTAAATCAATGGTAGATGCGGAGCTTAGATACCCACAAATTGAGAAGTTGGCATTAGCCCTAGTTACTTCAGCTCAGAGACTACGTTCGTATTTTCAAGCCCGCAACATAACTGTCCTCACCAATTTTCTCTTACGACAAATTTTGCAATGTCCAGATACTTAATGATGACTGATGAAATGACTGTGGAGCTCAGTGAGTATGACATTCACTATAAACCAAGAACTACCATTAAAGGACAGGTCGTGGTAGATTTCATGGCAGAATTGACACAAGTGGAACCTTAGGTATGCAACATCAACCCACAGCTAGTTGAGGAAGAGCAACCTTGGTCGCTCTACGTAGATGGATCATCAAATTTTCGGAGATGCAGAGCAGGACTTCTATTAGTCTCGCCAGATAAGGAGATATTCGAATACGCACTGCGATTCAGTTTCCATGCATCCAACAACAAAGCCGAATACGAAGCTCTACTAGCAGGATTAAAGGTGGTCAACTAGATTGGGATCAAGAACATACTGATATTCAGTGATTCGCAGCTAATTGTGAGTTAGGTAAAAGAGGAATTCCAGGCTAGAGAACCAGGGACGACAAAATACTTTTCTCGGGTAAAAAACCAGCTCGGCCATTTCTCAAAATATGAGATTCGAGAAATTCCTCGTACTCAGAACACCAACCGGATGCATTAGCTTAACTAGCTGCAGCTTATGAAACTAACCTAGGAAGAAATGTGCTTCTCGAAATTTTGCCTGAGCCGAGCATAGAAGCTCAGGAAGAAATGGATATCGACGAACAAGGGCAACCAAAAGAAAACTGGATGAGCCCCTTGATCAAGTATTTGAAAGACGAGATCCTACCTACTGAGAAGATAGAGGTCCAACAACTACAACAACGAGCGGCCAGATATGTGCTTAAAGACGAAAGTCTGTACAAGAGAGGATACTCACTGCCGCTTTTAAAATGTTTAACGCCTGACGAAGCTGACCATGTTATAAGAGAAATACATGAGGGTGTTTGTGGGATCCATTCCGGAGCACGATCCCTAAGTCACAAAATAGTACGACAAGGGTATTATTGGTCGACCATACTAAACGACACAATGCAATTCACCAAAAAATGCGACAAATGCCAGTGGTTCGCAACGATACCTTGACAACCGCCAGAACCCTTAACAAACATAACGAGTCCTTGGCCCTTTGCTTAATAGGGAATAGACCTTATAGGTCCTCTCCCGTTAGGAAAGGGCTAGACCAAATTTGCAGTAGTGGCAGTCGACTATTTCACCAAATGGGCTGAAGCAAAAGCTCTAGCTACGGAGAAAAATGTCACCGACTTTATCTGGAAAAATATCATTTGCCGTTTTGGAATACCCTACACCATTATCAGTGATAACGGGAAGTCGTTCGACAATACTACTTTTCAAGAGTTTTGTACGGAGTTGGGCATTAAACATATCTGTTCTTCACCAATGCACCCACAAGCTAATGGGCAGGTTGAAGCAGTCAACAAAATCATCAAAATGAATCTAAAAACTAGATCAGAGAAACTCAATGGATTATGAGCAGAAGAACTTCCCAACGCGTTGTGAGCCTACAGAACCACACCTTCTACATCGACGAGAGAAACGCCGTTCTCACTATCATTTGGTTCTGAGGCACTAGTGCCAGTAGAGATTG